AGCCATACATTTGCTACACTGTTTAATATCAAGGTTACAGCTTTCCATCTTTAACTTGCTTGCCACCCACCCTACATCACAAGAGAAAGTAAAACATCTGTGTAAAAGACTTAGTATTTTACACATTTTTAAACACCCGTTTTATTTTATTTTTGTAATACCAATGTGTACTGGTGCTTTACTGGTACAATTGTAAATTAGGCCAAAACTAACATCCATTTCTTTAAAGGTATTTTATTTTTACGAACAAAACAATCCATTATTGAGATTGTTTTGTTTGTTAGCCATGTTATGGATAGTGCTTTTTCCTGACAAAGCAGCTGTGCATAATTAAAATGAACATTAAAAAAGGGTAATCAATTGCTGAAAAAAAACAACTAAAGTGAGATGTTAGTGGTGGCACTCCACTTTTTCAGAGTTCTCCACAACATTGCCGTGTAATCTCAGATTTCTAACCCGAGCTGAGCTAATAAAGATACGTCCTAATTCAAGATAATATTTTGTATGACCTTCTTACGTTTAACAAGCCTATGACCTCTCTAAATAAATGTAACAATGAGAGAGTAGGGTGTTAGAGAGTCCTGCTTTTCAACGTCATCCATCAGAAGGCTCAAGGGAACGTTGGGATGGACACAGATGCTGCTCAGGAAGAGAGAGCACATCTTCAGTTTACAGCTTAATGATTTTGTTCCCTCTTGAATGATTGTGTGTGTTGGTGTGTGTACAGTGCACAGTAGAATGCTCCTGGGGCCAAAGACACACTTAAAGATTTGACCTCCTCTTTTTACACTACAACCAGGCATCAGCGCTGCTTTGATGTTTCATACTTCACTCACTATTAAAGAGAATTCTTGGCTAGAGAAAATGAATGAACAAAACGGTAATGTGGCCTTTACAAGAATTCAAAATCCTAAAGCGTTCCGGGGGATTACAGAGAATTAAAGGACAATTTCAAAATCTGTTCTAGAATTTTCTTCAAAGCACAAAAAGCTTAAAATCACTAATTCTGTTTTTTTCGATCTATGTGGAAATTCTAACACAAATATCACATTTAATGATTTTGAAGAAATTTGATAAAACTGTAATTACTCAATTAAAAGTGAATCATTACCTGCTGTTCAAACTTTGAGTCACCCATTACCTCCGAGAGTTAAATGTCCACACCACTGGAGAGAGTAAAAATCATTCATCATGAATGTATTCCTAAAGGAGTAAAGCTAAAGAAATAACCCACTCTAGTCCTGGAAAATCAATCCTCCATAGTATAGTATCTCTCTCTACAGCTATTTGTGTAACAAACTTATGTTACATTGCATTACATTTCATTTAGCTGACATTGTTAGGTATTATAGACATATATATATCATATTTTAAATCAATGTCTATCAATTGATTAACGTAACGTTATCCTATCTATATCACATTGTCAAAAGGATATAACCTACAAATCATGTATGTCTCAACAGTAGTGAAAGGTTAGTGAATAGGACGTGTCTGCAGGATGTGGATGTCGTGCTCAGAAGGACTCAAACAAGATGGCTGTTTGACCTTGTGACCTGGTGAAGCACTTTACAACTGACCGACACATATTCCTTGTAGCTAAGCCAGCACACGTCTCAATCTTAATTGAAAAACAGCAAACTCTCATTATTAATTTATTTCCAACAGGCAAAAGAAAACTGATCCCTTTGCCAATAGCGTCCGAGACAACATCACATAATGTACCAAGGCTTTGGCTGGAATCTTACTTGCTGATTCACAACAATCTCAATCCGACAACAAAAGCAGAACGCACTCAAACGTTTCTAAAGAAAATATAAACTGGGAAAAACTTTTAAAAGGGGCATTCCAGCACTTTTATATAATACATATGTTATCCCTGACTAGTCACAAGGGTATCTTGGAGCGTGTGTTGATAATGGAGGCATAGAGAAAGGCATGGGCATTTACCAGACAGGGAAATGGAATGATGCAATGTGTTGCATTATGGGAATTGTATGATCCAGTGTTACACAAACCCAACCTATACTTAAAACAACAATTCTTGAATTCTATGGTTCTGCTACCCAGACTCTGGCCATTCCTTCCTTTACGGAAGTGAAATACTAAATTGCCAGAGTGGGCTTTTAAGAGGATAATAAATGCACTGTTGATAATGGAGTAGCTTGTACTGCCCTTTCTCCCAAAGGTGCATTAACTCATCTACAGGTGAAGATACAATCGAATTAGAAAAATGTAATGAAGGACCTCGAGTGATGCCCTACTATAGTGACATTTGACCAAGACAGATGGTTGGCATTGTGTCAAGAGAATATAATATCAAATCATGCTTAATCTAACCTATTCAGATGTACAACACAATTAACCTGATGCAATAAATCTGAACAAAATGTTCTATAATCCACTGCATGTGCAAGTTGTTCTTAATTTGATTTTACATAAAGCGCTCTATAGGTAAAGTTCTAAAGTAAAGCATTCTATTGATGACAATGACAGATGGGATTATTACACAACGAGCATCTGCCCGAAGCGTTTCCCCTAATTTGAAATGCCAAGCAGGCAAGAAAAAGGACACCTTTTCTCGTTGTATTTTGTCCTTTGAATGAACCATATTATCACAACAACAGTGTTATCTCCTAGCATTGAGGAGTTTTTTGAGGACACTTGTGAACAAGCTGTTGCTATGCAATCACTGAACAGAGAGGACGTCTGATGTTGAGTTCTGCTTAAGGAGCGTAGGGAAACCTGATGATACACCGTATTAAATAACTCTTCACTGGATAGGAGCCCACATCAGCAATGCGGGTTTCAGAGGCATGAGAGTGACCTCAGCCTGCCCACACACACAAACATACACACACACTCCTACACTCCACGGCATCCCTGACCAAAATGTTCTGTTTCTGCACCATGTGGAGCTCAACACTGAGCATGACTGACCTCTGGCAGCCTGCAGGCTACTTTATCTTGTTAAATAACCACAATAACAGGGGTTATATTATAGTGTGTTTGTAGAAGTCACTGATCCATGTGTTTTAACTCTACAATTTAGATAATATAAGTCTTATTTAACCAAAAAACACAATAAACCATAAGGGTAGGCCATATGTGGGATATACAATTGTAAACGTAAGGTATTATAGATGCGGATTGATCTAAGGAAGCCTTGCATAACATATTTATTAAACAAATAATTGTCATATTTTCATACTTCCATTTTAATCATTTAAAGAGGTCTGTCCAGGGCATCAGTATATGCTATTGCAGGGAGTGGCATGTTTTAATAGGCTACGTATTCGCATTCATCTCCACCTCCAAATGCCCCTCACAAACACGAGTAATAGCGAATATAAAGCCATATGAACGCGCGTGCGAAAGTCTGCAGATAAAACACACAATATTAGCCATTACGTAAACGGTATCTTACCTCTCTGTGCGGCTCCTTCTCTTTGCAGCGTAGAATCAACAACTGGCTCCTCCCCTTGAGGACCAAACAGTAGCACAGAAATCTCCCCCCGTCTCCTCCACGTTACTGCTGCACACAAAACACGTCTGGCCGAAAAAGGCTCCAGAGAGGCAGGGTACGATGGTGAGGTCCGGCCCGGTGCAGGAGAGCCTTCCCCCGGTACAGCAGCAGACTGATGGCTGAGCTTTGCGGCGGCCTGAGGGGAGGCACACTGCAGTGACATGAACCAATAGGATGACGCAGAATCCCAGGATCTCCTATTCACAAATGCCCAGTGAATCCCATAAAGAAACCTAGTGGTCCAAACATGTTTTTATTGGCAAATATACACACACATGCCATCTCTTTTTAGATTGTGTCCCAGAAAACTAAATATGACTTTTGGAAATATGCTCAAGTGAGAGACTGTCCTTCTATTCTGTTACTATAAGATAAATGCCAATAAAATACAAACTGTTCCTTAGGTATCACATAAGCACATTTAGCCCACACACAACCCTCTATTACATTGTTTCATTTTAATAACAAAGGACACACAATATAAGAGTGTGGTCTAAAAATGAATACCCAGGAGAACTTATTTAGGACAACAACCTATGTTTTAGGTTAGCCTAGTCAATAGGCCAATATTCACCCTCTCAGAGTGGGTCTATGTCGATGCACATTATGTCGATGCACATTATACAGGAGCTTGCTTTGTATTTTCCCTAGAATATACAGTACAATTGTATGATATATAATTGTACTTTATAAGCTAAATATATTAAACCATCTTGAGACGGATGAAAGTGCCTCCCCCTTTAAATGGCATTAGATGAAGTGGATTTGTTGAAATCTGACAGATCAATCCTGTCTACTGTTTTAATTTATCATTTTTAAGTGGGCATGCTGGTGTATTTAAGTTCCCTTCTTTAAGAAAAAGTGCATTTTTGTACTACTGACAACATTATGTTTACACAGGCCCGGAACTGTGATATTATATCAGACAAACATGATCATAACATGGATATTTCAGCTACAATATGCATAAGAACTACAACTTCATAGAGGTATAGCAACCGGAAATTACTTTAGGAAACGGAAATACCAAACTCAACAGAAGAAAGGTAGATCAAGTATCCCACCAGCAACAATAACACATCCGGTATGCGCCCATGGCCTTCAGAGTAAAAAGCTAATAAATAAAATAAATGTAAAATTGATTTCGAAATATTGTAATTTTGAAACAAGTAGTAATACCAATTAAATGAAATGCAAGTAATAATTACATAATGGTGTATACTGTAGAACTATGGGTGCAAATAGTACCCAATTATCCTTTACAAATCAACAACGTCCCTCAATATACAGTTTAAGGATTTGCATGTTTTTCTTTTAAACATGTACGAATTAAAATACACTACTACCATTCAAGTAATTCTACATGAGTATTTGCTGTATAATGTGTGCACTTATTATGCTTAATTTACCTTTTACGTTAGAAACGGTGAAGATGTCGCTTTTATTCTGAAGGATTCATACCGGAAGTGTTATTGTTGTTGCCGCTGCTGGATCACAGGCGAGTAAGAAAATCAATTAAGTTATGAAAAATACCATTAATTGCCTTTCTTTGTCACCGCAGCTCATGAAGAAATGGCGGATCTCCAGACGTAGTATATTTGAGGACAAACACTTCGCATCTAATGGCGTGTTTTCGGACCATAAAGACCATCCCAATCGACCTGGATATTTACGTTTTTTTGGTAAGTTAGCTTGATGGCTAACTAGTGAAGTTGACATTAGCTGCTCGGCTAATTTAGCTGTAGGTTAACATCTTAACCCTCGGCTTAATTGACTTAAGATGGCACTTGTCAGTCATGACTACGTACTGAAGAGGACGAGTTTTGTAGAGCCACTCGCTGGGCTGTGTTCCGTCAGTTTTCCCAAATATTGCTGTCATTTCTTGTTGTGCAGTGGTAGCATTAGCTAGCTGCATGCTATATGAAGACATGGTTAATTTTACTGCTAACAGTCTCGCTTGATTGCTTTCTATCCGGTTGTAGCACCAGAGCTAACGTGTTAGCCATTCTGCTAAAGTAGCTTGCTAGCAAGCTACTAATGGCTGGATGTATTGTTTGTTTACAATGTAGATACACCAAATCAAGTCCAGATATTACACCATCATGAAATGTGTGTCCTGTGAAGTTATGTTATAAACTACACAGTGTAATATATTATCACTGGCTTATTTAGGGCATCATAGATTTGTTGAAAAATGATATATACACTGCAGTAAGACACTTGATACTAAATTACTGCCTGGATTTATTTGTTCATAGAATTCATTAAGGTTTAAACATACGTTAAGAAGCTAGAAATCTACCTTAGCAACAGTATAATGACTAAGGTAACGTTTGCTGTTAGTAGTTTATTATATAGCTTATTACTAAGCTATTCATAATGATTACTGAATAATGTGATATTGTATTAGCAGGTTAATGATTGGTTGAATAATTGATTAGTTGACCAACAGAAAATAGCCAGTAACTATTTCAATAATGTGTCACTTAAAGGTTATTTTTAAGCAAAACTGCCACAAATTCCCTGATCCAAGATTTTATTCTATCATACCTTGTATTGTCTTTTATCATTTTTCTTTTTTAATACATTGGAAGATCCCACGAAAACAATAATGATAAATATAAAATAAAACCCCTGCTTTCAAAATACTTTCCTTCAACCACATTTTTATAGCAATAATTATCTCCATAGTTAACCTTGTACTTTCCTCTCCACAATTTAAATCAGCCAGTTACATTTAATTGAAGAAAAGGAAAAAAAGGAAATAAGAAAATGTTCTCTATATTTATTTTATTTACTCATATACCTGTTTTTACACTGTTCCACGCTCAATACAGTACTTTTCTGAGTGTATATACTAATGAATTTTGATTGATTTTCTCTTGCATCTATAGGAATACTGAAGAATATCTTCCAAACTGATGAGAATGAGCTGATGGTTGTGGAAGTCTTCAAAAAGACGTTGCAAAAAAGAGAGAGGCCTTCTGGAAGATGCCAAGAAAAAAACAACAGAATCCACAGCCAGTCAAGTGTAGGTACTCGGAGATCATTTCCACATTGAAAAGTTGATACATAGCTGGGCTACGGCCAAATATGTCTCACATCTCCATTTTTTACTGACATATGGTAACTAGGCCTTCATGGTGAGGTCAAAAATGAAATCCCTGTGAATAATAGCCTGGTCGTTAACAACACGTGCCCTCTCACATCTGGACTCCAGGTGTTGCCGTTTGAGTATTTTGAATGTTTAACATCTATCATACAGACCACTATGACTGCACCTAGCAATGCAGTTAAATCCATTGTTACATTCTGCGCCAATAAGAAGGATTGTTGAATGTGCAGTACAAGATTTTTTTTAATAGCTTATTTGTTTCTTTAGTTTCTTGTATGTTGTGTAATACCTGATTCAAAAATAGGTATCAGTATGTTAGAAATTAGCTACTGTATACAGATTTAAAGCTTACTAACGAAAAAGTAGTTTCTCAAGTCACGCACATCATCATTTGGTGTTGTGTTAACGATTAGCAGAAGACTTCTTCATCTCCCAATATTCGCACTAGATGTTATCATTACAATAATTATACAAATCAAAGAGAGAATGTCATCTGTTGTCTAATTTGAAAAGATGGAGTTCTGGGAAAAAGAAACTTCCTACGGTGTTTATATTGTTGTCATCTTGTCATATACTAAAAAAGACCAGTAGATGGTGCTGTTTCTCAAGGATCTTCCAAGAAGTGCTGATGAGCTCTATGCCCTTGAGTTGGCCTGCTGCTAGTTTTCTGAAACAGTGACAGCTGTGTGCTAGCTGTTTGGATTCCATCAAGCTTGAGAGCGAGTTAGGAATTCAGGCCTCATTAGCTGTAACTGCAGTAGAAGAGCGTCATTTGTCAACTGTTCAAAGTTCATTCTTTGTTCATAAAGTGCTGTTTTTTACACTGTTACAGCAAGAAAGTAAATAAGCCTCTTCTTTTTTTTTTTTGTAGAACTGAAAGGATTAAATAGAGACCCGTTTTCTGGCTGGCGTGGCTAGTTTTCTTTTTATTCACTCCATCTTTTTATGCTTGATTAACCTGAAATTAGGGCTGCTCAATTAATCGTATTTTAATCGCAATTAATATTATGGCTTGCAACGATTCCGAAAACAACGTAATCGAAAGAAAACGATTATATTTGTATTATTACTTTTTTTTTTTTTTTTAATTCAATTTTTTTTTGGGGGTTTTCAGTTGAATTATACTTAAAGTTCAGGTTAATCAACTGTTAAAAACATACTGTTCACATTTTCTTTCTCCAATAAATTGATGTTTTCAAAGTAAATGGATAATCATTTTTAATAATCGTGATATCAATTATTGACCCAAATAATCGAGATTATGATTTTTGCCATAATCGAGCAGCCCTACCTGAAATTAATCCTAAGTAGTATTTACTTGAATGCTAGAGCCTCGAACAGTCAAAGTTAACATAGTGAGACCTTCATCTGTTATCATGTGTCTGGTTCCAAATTAAGATATACACATGCTTATTTATTTGCATAAGTAGACGACCAATGTTTGAAAATGTGCCAATATTAGTGAAATATTCAAGTATATTGATTAAAACTGACCCTCCAGTGAAATGATAGTAATCATCTCGTGTTGTTGTTGCTCCTTTCTGTGACTGCAGTGGATTCTGAAGATGGTGTAGCCATTGAAGCTCCAGGAAACCTCAACTTAGACGCAGACTTCCTTTTGGGACAAGACATTGAGTTTGGTGATCCTGATCATGACAACAAGATTCTAGGCCTGGACAAGTTTTCAGGTTTGTAAAGTTACATTTTCTATTAAATGTTTACAGTTATAATCATTAGGTTTCAGAGAGATAACAGATACCGTTTACAGCACATCTGTGAAAGCCAACTTTGCTCAAGACAGAACATTTCTAAAATTACTGTTACAAATAAATACATGAAAACAAATATTAAATTAATGTTAATTAAACAAAACAATGACTTTTTAATGAATAGATATGACTGAAATGGTAGTACTCTAGATTGTCATTGAGAAGTTTTCTTTTTCCAGGACTAATTTCCCCTTAGTGACAACAGTCCATCTTTGAGTGTAGCTCAGAACGTAGTAAGACATTCTGAAGTTCAATTTCCAAATAAAGACCGTTAAAATAAATTGCAGTAATAGTTTTTAAAACTTGGATTCAAGTTGTTATTTAAAGAGTGCACTGGCCAATTGCACTTCCAAATGATAGAAGACCGCCTTGGAGTTTAGCTCAAAGTATAAGGACATTCTGATGTTGAGGGAACAAAGATCATAGAGGACATTTTTATTTTATTTTTTTAAACACAATCTGAATCAGAATGTCCCACCTAGGGAAATGCCCTAGCTACACGCCATTAATGTGAAGCAGTAGGAAATATCCCATTTGCATTAGCAGGGCTACAGCTGTGTAACATCATTAGGAGAGTGAGCAGTAAACCCTGACGCCTATATAATTGGTAAACAAATAATAATATCAATAACAAAAAGTCATTTTGGAACACCAGCTTAATCATTTCCTGGTGATCCTTGTGTGCAAGTAGCCAGTTTAAATCCAGTAGTAGGGGAATGGCAGACCCAGGCCCTCCCATTTGACATTCCTGCCCTCCCCCAATAAACACGTTTTATTTAATTTATTAAAAACAAAAAATTAATTATATTTGTAATTATAAATAAACTGTGAACTTTAAGGCTACGATGTATGTGATGTCAGATAGTAATATAAGAGTAATAAATGAAAAACAAGTATAAAATACTATATGACAGTAAAACAAGAATACAGTTTAAAAGGGGAGTGATTTGTAAAATATCCATAAAGAAAAAGTCAATCTGTTTCCAGTTCTGTTTCAAATGGGTGTTGAGAGATGTATCCATAGATCTCTTCATGTTGCTCTCAAAGTGCACCAGATTGATGCTTTTAACTTCAATATTAAAAACAAATCTTCCCGGGGGAGCATGCCCCCGGACCCCCTAGAGGAGGTTAGGTCCACCCCCCACTTAAAAGAAATAGCACTTTACCCCTGCTTACACCTACAGTATATGCCGTGAGCTGATTATCGAGCCTTCATTGGCAACAGTCACGGGTACACTGTGTATGTGCTGTGGGCAGTGTTGCAGTAGAACATTCCACTGTAGTGCCGGTACCTTAATGGGAAACCCTACATGTTTGAGCACCCTCTATGAAATGTCAAGCTACCCCACAGCACCCCCAAAAGAAAATCTCTGGCGCCGATACTGGCCGCGGTTTTGTGTGCCCTCCCATGAAAATCATATGCCCTCTCTGTAGATTTGTTCTGGCGCCGGGTCTGCACCAAAGATGAACACTTCTATACAGAGAGATATCAGAATGTAAATGCGATGAATGGCTGGGGTGGAAAAATTGTATAAATCGTATAAAAACTGGATTTGATTTGATTTAAATGGATAGGATTATAGCTTTGAAAAAATGTTGTGTGTGTGCTCTTGGTGTCAGCTTGTCTGTTTTTATACTCCCTCTGTCTATCTTTCAATCTGGTGTCTCACTGTTTTCAATCAATGCTTGTTCACCTTTCTGCTGGTGTTGCTATGTGTTTTCTAGTAATACAATTCATAGACATCTTATCCCGCTTTTGGCGAACGTGTCTATTGATTATACAATGAAGGGAGGATCACACTTTCATGGTGGGAGGACGATAGGTTCATTATGTTTTGTATAAGCGCTCATTTTCATTTCCTGTCATTACTGTGAGAACATGGAATGAATCTGAAATGTTAATCCTTCTAATGATGTTACAACTAGAGTAAGCAGTGGCTTCATTTGTAAAGAAGTGGCGGCTCAAAGCGGACTTTTAAAGAGTTTGTTTGTCGGTGATGAAGCGTGGCGCTCTCTGTGAGAGAAATGGAACCAGCAGCTCATATTTCCCAGCATGCCTCTTTGTCAGAGAGAGTGATCTGAAAAATGGAAAAGTAGAGAACGGAGCCGAGACGCCGTCATTATATAGGGGGTCGTAAAAATAGGACCATTACCATCAAGGACACCATTATGAGAGGGCATTTATTCATCATCATCATCATCATCATCATCATCATCATCATCATCATCATCATCATCATCATCTATTGCTGCCTCTGCTCCCAGTCCCCTACTGCCATTATCGTTTCCCGCTCATCATCATCATCATCATCATCATCATCATCATCATCATCATCATCATCATCATCATCATCATCATCATTATCATCATCATCATCATCAGCTGCCTCACCATTGCAGTCATCATCATCATCATTAGGCTAGGGTAATCATCCACCAGGGGTTTCCATTGGGATAAAAGAGCAGTCTCCCCCTCTCCCCTTCCTCACATCCTGCCTCGGCATCTGTGAGGGAGGAAGGTTTTCTCTCGGTGTATTCACTTTCAAAAGCACACTGGAGCCAAAGAGTGCTGTGTCTTAGAGCTTTTCTTCCTACTCTCTGGAAAAAGGTTTTTATACTGCCTGAAAGCGCAGTCGACCCCGCAGGAAGCATTGTGAGTACCAAGTGTTTCTCTGAAATACACTTTCTCCTTTTTGCTTTTGTCTGAAGTGTTCTTACTCTGAGAGATGGAAACGGAGCGCCGCTATCCGTAACATTTCGGGGTTTTTTCTTTGTTGCAGTGAGATTTGTTAGAAGATACTGTTTGAACTGGATGTGTATACTGTATTGGAGGTCTTTTTTATGTCATGGTATATTTTCAGCTTTTAAGATGCATTTAGCTTCTTTGCAGTGCTGTTGTCATTAATCCATGCCACTTGCACCTGAGCCAAACACATGTCTCCAGGCTGTGAACTATAGAACAAGAGTGCATTTTTTCAGTTATATTTCACTCTATAAATTCCTCTGGTTATTTCAAAATGTGTCAGTAGTTATTCACTATGTAATATATGTGTGCGCAACCTCTGTAATAAATATGTGTTATGTTACAGCATATGAATAGAGATGTGTGTGATTGTCTCTGATGCTGTTTTTGTGTGTGCTTCTGTACTTTTTGTCTGCTGTCTGTCTGGAAAAATACATCGTATTACTTGGTAGAATATAGAGGGGAAAAAAGGCATTAGATAAAGAGACAAAGAAATGAGAGTTGGACACATTTTTGTGAAATTCTGTAGAATAAACAGCAGTACAGAAATGTGCTTTGTGTTTGTCTATGTCTTTTAAACATTACAGTGGGTTGTGAAGGTCTTTCTTCTTTCTGTGCAGTGTTCAGAAACCTCTCTTTCTCTTTGTTTTCCTTGTTCAGAAGTAGCTGCTGAGATCGGTTTCTCTGTGTATCCTCTGGCTGAAGAGCAGAGCCCTGCCTACAGCCAGCTCAGCATGGACAGTGAGACGGACAACTCCCACAGCACCACTGACAACAGCAGGGACGACGAGGGCAGAGCCTCCCAGTCGGAGCCCAGCTTCCCCCCCTATCTGTCCTGCAGGGGCTGCGGACAGCTCCGAGACGAACCTCTGGGACCGGGCATAGACCTGGTCGGCCCGTACTGCCTGAGGTGCTGCAAAGCCTCAAGGGAAGCCAAAAGCCCAGACTTCTGTTCCCCTTTCGGAAACATCAGCGGGATTCGTCCTGGTGCGCATTTGGATTTTGAAGAAGAAGAAGACGACGAGATGGAAAGCGAGATGAGTGACAAAGAGCTGTCAGCTGAGGACAAATTGGCCAAACTGCACTCGTGCCACATCTGTGGCTTCTCCTCGCGTTACGCCAACCATGTGAAGCGTCACATGAAGACACACAACGGGGAGAAGCCCTATAACTGCCCCCTGTGCACGTACGCATCGGCCCAGCTGGTCAACCTGCAGAGACACCTGCGCATTCACACTGGGGAGAAACCTTACAAATGTGACATGTGCACATTTGCCTGCAGTTCCCTTGGCAACCTGAAGAGGCATCAGCGCATGCATGTGTGCTCTGCAGGGGCGGGACAGGATGCCCCTCCTCGACCTGCCATTGGCCAAAACAGCCTGAAGAGGCATGTGACTGGGCAAAGACCCAATGAAGAAGTGTCTGGACCTCCAGCCAAGGGTATGTATCATTTCCTTCCTTTATTCATTAACCAGACCCGTTTTGTTTTCTCTTTACAAATATCGTGTCTCATGTTGCAAGATTTAAAAACTTGATGCACCCTTTTAGTAACTTCAAGCTGCCTTCACGTTATGCGATTTGCAAATCTCTGCTCACTGCAAGGTTGGGCGTGTCATCCTTAAAAAAAACGACTGCAACATTAGTGCAGAGCTGATTTAACGCTGGTCATGTGAAGGCAGCTTTAAGCAGTAATTGAATAACTAACATTTATCTTTTTGTGAAGTTTCAGAAACTGCGAGGTCGACTTCAAACCTGAGTTTGGGAGCCCAGAACAATGACTACATGTCAGCCTTTGATGGCTTAAAGGGGGCGTCGCCACCACCCATACCCGCCTCTAACCCAGCTCATAGCCACCAGCCTCCCCCCCACCAGCCTCCCCCCCAGCTGCCTCCCCCCCAGCTGGGCAACAGCAGCACCAGGGCAACCAGAGGGGGCATAGCAGACGGCCCCCCCCTCCCCTCTTCACTCTTCCCTTATACTTGCCGCTTGTGTGGCATTATCCTTGAGGACGAGGACGGCACCACTGCACAGATCTGTCCCAAGTGTACCCTTGAAATGCTGACTAAAGACTCTTCGTCGTCTCCCAACAGCCCCGGGGAGCGCAGCGACAAGGTGTACACCTGCTCCGCCTGCCCCTTCCTCACACACTACCCAAACCACTTGGCCCGCCACATGAAAACTCACAGCGGCGAGAAGCCATACAAGTGCCCACAGTGCGACTATGCCTCAGCGCACTTCGACAACCTCAAGCGCCACCACAGAGTGCACACAGGCGAGAAACCTTACAAGTGCCATTTGTGCGATTACGCCTGCGGGAACCTGGCCAACCTGAAGCGCCATCAGCGCGTTCACTCGGGGTTGAAGCCCTTCCAGTGCGACGTGTGCAGTTACAGCTGCAACCAGAGCATGAACCTGAAGCGGCACATGCTACGACACACAGGAGAGAAGCCGTACAAGTGTCAGGAGTGCGGCTACACCACTGGCCACTGGGACAATTACAAGAGACATCAGAAAAAACACGGCCTGGCCACAGACGGCTGGGTCAAAGTCCCAATGACTGGCAACAATGAAGAAGAGGATGCAAGGAAAGGGATGGGAGGTGGCGCTCCGGCTCACAGAAAAGAAAGCGGAGTTGATATGCAGTACATGTCTAGGGAGGAAGGCCAGACTATACACTCGTGCTATAAACTTGAGATTGTATAAAACTCAGCAAAGTTAAGCTACCAGCAATTATCTTTTTGGTTTTCACAGAGCCTTTATATGAGCCTTTCTATTGTTTTAGTGTGTGTCTTAGTGTTTTGTCGGATGTCTTCAGAGGCTGCTAATTGTTTATTTGTAGAACCCCGCACAATTATCAAACACAATTCTTACTGGTTAAACTCTTTTTTGTTTGGATTAAGTAGTCGAGTGTTTGTCTTCTATTCTGCGTTTGTGTCTAACAATAGGACTTTGTCTCTTGTGGAAGTCTTTTAAATGTCTTAATCTGTATGTTACACTACAATAGGCTAATTCTAAAATGTCCCCTCTCATATATTTACTAGGGCCGGGACTTTAACGCGTTAATTAAGATTAATTAATTACACAAAAATTAACGCGTTAAAAAAATTAACGCATTTTAATCGCACTTATTTTTGCACCGCGGAACGTTTCTCACTGGATGAGTTTCAGGCGTACCGATTATACTGGAGCACCAACTAACGTTCATGACTACAGACAACAACAAACCACAGTGAACAACAGTGGGAAATGTTGTTTTAAAAAACGGACGGATGGAAGCGTCGATAAGAGCACGGTTGTGTGCAAATTATTAGCATGGTTGTGTGCAAATTATGCAAAAAGGAATTTGCATATCACCGCAGCACATCAAGCCTCAAGTATCACCTCAATGCAAAATATATAGCAGCTAGCGTGGAAGCTAGCGTGGACGTTAGCCTCTTTTATCGCGTTCACACCAAAAAGAGCCGGTACTAAAATTAGTTAATGAGAACCTTTTTACCCCCACGAAAGTCCCTGCTAGAGAGCAGGGACTTTCGTACGGCTCTCTTGTGAGAAAAGAGCTATATTTCTGATTGGCTGGGCGGATTGCAAACCACGCCCTGTAAAACTCCCAAAAAGTTTTGTGAAGCCGCCATTTTATTATCCTCGCATTAGCATTATTAGCATTAGCCCAGCGCAGAAACGCAGAGAGACTAACTTATGGCAACACAAAATAAAACATGGGAGCGGTGGAGATGAGGAGGTGTCGGCGTTCTGGCGATTTACTCGGAAGGCTTCAGTAGAAGCTGCTGGGACTCCCAGCAGCTTCAACTGAAGCCAGTCCCCAACTCCGGGGACTTCCGGCCGGGGACTTTGGGCGGCAGTATACGCCGTGAAGTGGTTTGCGGCCTGCCAGTAAACCCAAAGCAGAAGAAGAAGAAGTGACGTCAGCGGCTTCATTTGCCTAATCCACCCCCAGGTTCAAAGAGTTCTCATGAACTAAATTCTCATGAACCTTTGTGGGAAAAGTACTGCGGTGTGAATGCGCCTAATGGTATACTAAAATCCATGTGAAAAAAAATTGCTTCTCACTGTTCTTAGGTCAAATATGTATATGCGATTAAAAATGCGATTAATTTCGATTAATTAATTACAAAGCCTCTAATTAATTAGATTAATTTTTTTAATCGAGTCCCGGCACTAATATTTACACATGTTCTTCATTTGAAGACAGAAAACACTACCAAATACATGTGCACATTTTTGCCTGAACTGCTGAACTGCACTGTGTAGTGATAGGATTTCTTTAAATAAGGGACAATTGCTATTTTTTCAAGTTGTTAGGAAAGCCTTTTTTTGTTTTGTACCAAAAATGACATTAAATAACTTGAATGTTGCCAATAGATTATTACATTATCTTTGGATTGCTTCATGAGGTTTTTCTGACTACACAGTGCAGCTTTCAGTAAAGATGGGTCCTTGTAAGGGTCAATATTTAGCTTTGTTTGCATTGGCACATGCTCTATTAATGGCATGTCTTCAGATTAATTTACTAACTTATGTAGCACTAGCAAAGTGCTATTAAAATATACTGGACTTGGTTTAAGTATATTGATGAAATAGGTTGTGTTACTAAGTAATCTGTGTTTTGAACGGCAGTGTCATCTTTCCTGAACCCCTCAGGTCTATAAAATGTGATTTGGAATTTAAAATATATATTTCTGGTTATAAACACTACAATGGCATGCACAAGCATCTTCAGAGGGTCTGTTCAGTCTTCACTTGGTTGTATGGTTAAAGAAAAAGCACAATCATACACATAGTGACATTCAAAAACAGACTTATTTAAGACTTAAGTGTTGGAGGAGGAAATGCATTGGATGATAATTCTTATATCATTTAGGAGTAACACGACGTAAACAAGCATGCCGTTCAAAGGAATTATTTCCCCACCAATTTGTACCTGCTACATATCATTTATTTGAATTTCCTGTTTACTGTGAAATTAGCCCATTCTCATGCTTTTACTTGAAAAATATGACTATTAGTGAGCATGTGTGTGTAATAGTTGTTTTACTTTTCTAAAGTGGCTGTAATACACTGATAGAAGAGTATACCTTAATGTATGTAGGATTTGTTTTTAATGTGTGTCATTTAGTTCCCATTGGAAACAGGGACTGTGATTTAAGTTTACGCTCTTTTTTTAAATTCCTATTATATGCAAGTGAGATTTTTTCAGGTTGCCAACTTGCCATGACACAATGGAGCATCGATTAGTACTGACATCCCCCAAGTGTCTGTTTTTGTCTTCATGCAGTGTCTCATAAATGCCTTAAGTGAGGACTTTGAAATAAACTTGGAATTCATTTCATTGAATGTCACACAACAGATTAGATGTCTTTTTTCCCCCTCAAATCTCTGAGTGTCATTGTCTAATAAACAGTAGATTTCCATTTTAGACAAAAGCCCTATGGAAGGTCTGTCTGTAAACCACTTGGTCCTGATATAATATGTTGGATGAATTTCCCTTTAATTTAGGACAGACAAAAATGCCCCTCCTTGGAATTAGTAATGAGTATCAGGTCAACATTTGAATTATCATTGCATTTTCTTTAGTTTAAAGCTCGAAACTCCAAAATAAATGGGTGTCTCTTCCAGAGGGGATCTACAATACTGCTTTGATTGGACTCACTTGGTCACATGACAATCAACAAAAAAAAAATGTCATGAATATAGTTGTATCAAATAGAAGGTGGACTAAGATCCAATAAAACAAAGTGTGTTCCTCGTCCAGAGTAGTTTTACGATTATTTGATTTGGAGTTTCTGGGTCACATGACATGTGGGTTATTTAAAAATGTGACTGTAACAAAAAAAATGCAGATATTTGTATTGTAGGCTACTATTCATACACAAATAGAAGGTGGACTATAGAACAAAAATAACAAAAGGTGTGTCTTACTTGTCCACAGTAGTAATGCAATGCTTGGATCAACAGATAATATGATTTAGAAGCTATTGAAAAATTCAATTAAAAAATAACTTTTCATAGATTTTCATATGAAATATAAATTGGACTACAATCCTTTAAAAAATAGTTGTTTCCTTTTCGTGCAGTGTAGTAACACAATGCTACTATAATTTAGAGCTCCTGTTTCTAAATGACAAAAGTGTCTGCCTGTATTATATCTAAGAAAATATCAGGCGTCTATAGATTCATACTGAAATAACAGAAAATGTTATATTGCAGAACAAATGAAGGCATCAGTAAAGAAATTGGAAGTTTCACATCCACCCCATCTATTTACAATGTTGAAATGAAGGCTACTGTATGTGTACTGTCCCAAACAGTTCATATCTTGCTTGTATTGTTTTAAATGCAATAAATAATGATGTTTTGTTATAAGACTAATCAATTGTTATGTTCATCAATAAATAATGACTAGTGTTGGGTTAACATTACTAAGGTGCTATACTGAGTAATATTCTTGGCATAGTACATGTCACAGAGCAACGTTCATGCTGCTGATGAAGAATGATACATAATGACTAAAGTGGACCATTGACAGACACATGAAAACCACAAGATCACCTAAAGAGTTTATTTTAGCATCATGACAGTTGTTACTGACCACTAAAATCAAAAGGAAAAGCAGTGGAATGAATCAGGTCGATACAATCATCATGACATATGACATGTTCTGTAAAAGTGATGCTGATGATAAACGCACGTTCATTTGGCACCTACAGTTATTAACACCCAGGAGCTTGCAGCTTCTTGTGTACGTGATAGACAGAAATAAAGAATCTAAACATGAATAATGGGGACCTGAGCCCCTTTCTGTAAATGCAACCGAAGACAGAGAAGAAGCACAGCAGTGACGAACGAGACATTTATGGAACATTGTTTTTTACAGTTCTTGCTACCAGTGATAGTAAAGCTGTCGATAGGTTGGAAGGGATTTACACGTAGAGGCTTCGAAACACATTTTAATGCAGCTTAACAGACGCTAAAAGCAATACAAAACTGGAATGACGTTTTTTAAAACAGCGGGATATGTTCATTAGTTTCCTGCTCTGCATGAACTTTGTTCACCCGAGCAATTGTGATCACATTAGCCACTTCACCAAAGCACCTTTTCTAATAGAGCCACTGAGTTGGCACATTGTACACACAGATTACAGAGAACTGAAGCCCCAATAAAGAATAAGATGAAGACAATCAGATGAGAAATGTGTAAACACTTTACATATTAACTAACAAAAACTATGGACTATAGTGTTTACAGTACCACATTTCAGTATAATAAACCACCAACAAGTATGTCCTGCTGCAGCATTTTTGAATGTACAGTTTTACTATAAGACTATCAGTGTTGTTGATGTAGTTTCAGGTTTCCTCCAGGCGGAGGCAGTGTAGGACACGCAGTTCAGCTGCTTCTTGAGGGTTTTTCATGAGAATAAGAAGATTACAAAGGCAGTGATGAAGCTGCTGTGTGGTGGAAAAATATAATGTTGGAGTGTCGTGTTGTTGTAGTATTTTATTTTTGAGTTAAAAAGACTGGGTCCCGCTGTATTACACAGGTTGCTCTACAGCATCTATTCACAGGCGTGATCCCAATATTGAGTGGCACGGGGGCTTTGGCCTGCTCCGTCTCCGGCCTTGGCCGATGCACCCCTCTAGACGACCTGGTGGTCCCGAGCTCCCCCAGGAGCACCATATCGATACCGAACTTAGTGCGGACACCCGATCGGCATAGTCCGCTGCAGCTCAGGTCTCCTGAGCTCAAACGCTTCACCAGCCTCAGCCTCCCAGTAACTTGGATTACAGGCGCGCGCCACCGCACCCGGCGGGAAATTGTCTCGCTCATAGGGTTTTTGAATTCGACAAATGTGATGTCATCAAGCAGCAAACCGGAGTGGCATCTAGTGGCGGGAAATAACACTGCAGCTGCTGAAGAGATGAAGGCTGAGTTTGTTAAAGTTCTGGATATCGAACTTCATCTGTTCATTCATATATTCATTTGTATATATTTGTATTTGTCTTAATGTCATTCTAATTATTCTTGCAGCACAACATTATCAAATAGGTTACCACACATTCAGGTAGCGCTCTCTAAAGGTTCTCTGAAAATGGTAAAAATGTTCCACATTCTGTGAACTTTATAATGAAGAAATCACATTCAGAGATCCCTTAGGGAAAAAACCTCTTTGAGAGTTTATAAGAAGTGTATTCTCTATCAGTTTAGCTCCTGTTTCTAAATGACAAAAGTGTCTGCCTGT